TTAGGAACCGGAGGTACTACAGATCTAGAAGTTCTTGGAAGGAAAAATCATGGTCAGAAGTGGTTATGCTGTACACCTGGGTAATATCCTTTTTAAATATTTTTTTTACCCTAAGCAACAAGCCTTCTCACTATGATCACAATATCAATCCCAAAAGTTGTATATTATCCAATATAAGCTACAGTAAAATAAATCCATAGGGTTCGGTAGTGTGGATATTTTGTCTATATTTGGAATACTAGAAAATTTCAAGGTAGAGTCCAATTCCGTGCAACAAAAAGTTTGAAATCTCGTTGCATTACACAACTTGACCGTATCTACTAAACTGCCCTACTTCCTTTGTTATGGAAAAAAATCAACTTTTATATACGAATCTATACATCTTGATTCTTATATTTTTAAAAAATTCTGAATTACCCCTCAACTATTGTGGCAATACGAATTACCCCCCTCAATTAAAAAAATCATTCTTTACTCTCGAATTTTTTTTTATACCAGATGTATTAATCCTCAACAAACTCCAGAGCAGTTTTGATTCTACGTGACACACACTACTACAAAAACCCTCATAGGGACTGGTTTATAGGTGTCGATTTATTTAAAACCGACGCCTATTAACCTTTTCCGACCTCCCACAGTTTAAAAAATAAAGAACCGGCACCTTTAAACCGGCAACTATATGATTCGCATAGATGCCGGCCAATAGGTAACGGTTGGAAAACCGACACCTATAGCCGGTTCCCAACCAACACCTTATTTGACTGTTTTTGTAATAGTGACACGTAGCAGTCCAGTCAATATGAAAATATAAAAAAGGTAGGACCCACATGTGGTGATCGAGAGAAAAGACATAACCGATAAGTGGGCCTCACCATTTTTTATTTTTATGTTGACTGGACTACTATGTGTGTGTGTGCCATGTAGAATCAAAACCACTGTAGAGTGAGAGGAGGGGTAATTCGTCCTGTATGAAAAATTGAGAAGGATAATTCATACTTCCACGATTATTCTAGAAGATTATCCGAACTTTTTTTCCTTTATTTTAAGATAGGACGAGTATTTACTTGTACACTCCAACATTTAAAAAAAAACGCACATGAGAATGTGCGTGAAGAGCCAAAACGAGAGCAATGTTCGATGTACTGACCATCACGGACACGAACTGTTGTACGCATATGCGTTGCTGCAGGTCACATGAAGACAGTGATCGACATAGATTAGATCGATCGACCTCTCGCATAAGAACAGAAATATTATGAATATATTAACCACAAGTGGCTTTGCCTTGGCCGTAGTTGGGGGTCAACGAGCACGCCAGTCCAACTCAGCAAACACTTTGACCTTTATTTGCGAGCTACTACAACTACTAGAACTACAGCAATCAGCATAGCTCTGCAAATACAAAACAGACTAGGCCAAGCTGGCAGGGGAATCAAACCGTGGACGCCATCTGATTGGCAGATTTGGTCCGGTTTCTCGTTTAAAATTACAAATTTACAAGTCGCCAAGTGCATGGACAAAATCCAAACCAACAATACTATACTGCTGACCGTTCGAAATAAAAACAATACTATACTACTCTACCGCTGCAGCAGCCTGTCAAAGCTTAAAAAACAAACCGGATTCTCAAGCAAGTGAGCAAGTGTACCATCCTGAAACTGATTTGTGTTGAAAAAACAGGGGATAAAATAGAAACAGAGAGTTGGAAAATAAATTTAAAAAAACAGCACCTCCATGTGTTGAAAAAACGGCACATAAGAATCCAATTCAAGCTGCCAAAGTTTTCAACCCCGGTGTGGAATCCGACCACACCGATCTCTTCTTCTCAGCATCCGTTTTTTTCCTGCGTATACAAAGCTGCAACTTGGGACTTTTAAATTTGTTTCACACAGACCCCGGCAGATCAATGAGAGAATATGACTCTTGCCAGTTGGGGTTGACTCTCCCATCATCTCTATACTAGTAGTACTAAGGGTGAGTTTGAGGAGAGGGGGATTGAGAAGATTGGGAAGATACGCAAAACGAGGTGAGCCATTAGCACATGATTAATTGAGTATTAACTATTTTAAATTTTAAAAATGGATTAATATGATTTTTTAAAGCAACTTTCCTATAGAAAATTTTTGCAAAAAATACACCGTTTAGTAGTTTGGGAAGCGTGCACGCGGAATACGATGTCCTTTTCTCACCCAATCCCCCATAACTCATCACAACGAACGCAGCCTAAATAGTCAAGGACGACTCCGCCCAATTAATACTAGAACACTTGTACCGATTTACTAGTACCTTTCAATTATCTTGTTTTGAAAAAACAAACCGCATGTGTGGAGTTTGTCTTCCACGTCTTGACAAAAAAAACCGCTGGTTCTCGCATCGCTCGCGGTGTCAATCGATCGATCGGTTTGTCGGAGCTAAAATCCGAGCAAAATGGGTCAAAAATCCTCCTCCTCGCGCGCGCGATGTACGGTGGAAACAGTGCAGCGGGGGGCGCTGTGTATATCAACTTTAGCTGCTGCCTGCTGTTGTACAGCAATTTTCACACTGTTGCACCGCGAAAGTTGAATCGATCGATCGATCGATCGAGCGGAAATGCATTGCTGCCGCCCTAGTGTGACAAACGCGTATATGTACGTACGTAACGTCGTCTGGACGATGTGTATTAATTGACGCGTGAGGGGGTGTTGTGTGTGTGTGCAGGGGAATTACAGATCGCTGTCGATATCGATCGATCAGTTTAGCCGTAGCATGCAGCGGCTATAGCCAGCCAGCTAGGCTTTTGCTGCAGCTGCACGCGTCTGGAGAGGTGAGGCGATCTTGTTCGTCTCGATCGTCGCAAATCATGCGAAGATCTTTCGGGATATTCTTCTTCCTGATGGATAGATAAGGCGGCGGCGCGGCGCAGAGGGGACCTGGGGAGCTCATACGGGGAAAGCTCGGCGAAGAGGCGGTGGCTCTGAGATGAACATTTGCCGAACGTTTCGGCCACCAACAATGATCTCCTGGTTGGAATAGTCGAAATTCTGAGACTGATCAAGTCAATTTTGCTGCTCAATATGTACAAGCAATCTCATCTACTGGGTTGGCAGCTGAAGTTTCTGGCTTCTTTCAGACATCACACATAATCCCTCCGTCCCATAAAAAAAAAAAAAGACAAACTCTGGTTTCCATGTCTAACGTTTGACCGTCCGTCTTATTTGGAAAAAATATGAAAAAAATTAAAAAGATAAGTCACACATAAAGTATTAATCATGTTTTATCATCTAACAACAATGAAAATACTAATTATAAAAAAATTTCATATAAGACGGACAGTCAAACGTTGACACGGGAATTCATGGTTTGTCTTTTTTTTTTACGGAGGAAGTAAGTAGCTTGTTTTTGTGTGCAATATTGAGCTATGCTAAATTTAAGTGTAGAATCCGATTTGGTATATAACTCTTAGAGAGATGTACGTATGTAACACAATTAATTTAATCATGACTCACTATAATCCAACAAATTCTTTATCCAATTAATACGATATTTTTAATAAGATAGTAATTTATTTAGTCGATAAAATTTGACAGTAGTGCCACTAATATAACAACGTTAACATCAAATATTCTTGACTGAAAATAGTACATAATCTCATACACCTCTTATGGTGTCAGCTGAAGTTTATGTGCTAGCTCCAAACACCTCGGATAGGATAGGACTTATAACCAGGTTTACAAACATCGCCTACCACTGAAAGCACAACGCTGTTGAATCCTGGAAAATTCGCTCTCATGGAGAGTCGAACCCAGGACCTCAGGTGCTACTGAGGCTCTTGTAACCATTAGGCTACAAGCCCTTTCGCACACGGAGTCCTTTCAAAACCACATAAATTCAAAAAATTGTCAGATAGTTTAAATTTTGGTTTAATTTTATTAACTTCTGTTGGCTTACTAAGCGGATCATCAACTCTATCCATCTTTGAAACCTCCAAGTTTCACAAGCGGTTATGTGAACCCTATATATAACCTGAGAGCACCCGCAATGGTAAAGTAAGGTGCTCTCTATAAAATATATACATCTCAACAATAGACTAGACTAATAGTAAATCATCCCAATAGTATGTCTACATGGATATCTATAGCTCTCTCATCCATTACCTCGTTTTTCTCTATAGACTATCTCCAAGTTATTAGATAGTTTTACTCTCTCTCTCTTCATTTAATCTCTTTCAAGTAGGAAAATATACTGATATGGATATCTTATAGAGAGTCTATAGATAACTATTGTGGATGCCCTGATATTTTATAATATACTCCAGCTACCACCTACGACTGGAGTGTAGAACCATGGTGATGCACAGACGCACTGTACTAGAGGTGTACACGCATGTTTGCGATAATACCACTACTTGTCCGTACCGGTGTACTACACTACCGATAGTATACGTACTAGTATTTGTGATTTGTGCAGCAGCAATTATTGTGCCCATTTGCCACAGATGCTCCAATACTGCTAGTAGTAGTAAGTAGTAGTATACGCTAGTGGCAGTATATCTGTACCATCATCAGTTGTGTATTCCATGGCTATAAGGTATACGTAGTTACTCCGTATCTCTTTTCCCACCGGAACTAGAAGCTGAGGTAGCTCCCAACTGGCTGACAGAAATGGACCCAGGTGGGCCCCAGCGGCAGAGGCCCGCGTAGGCAGACGGCGCGAGCGCGTGTAGCGCGCGCGAGTGAGCTGTACGCCTGTACAGCTGGACGAGTCAACGGGTCAAACCCACCGCAAAAGTCCCCCGAGTCTCTCCAACCCGTGTACGTACGTACGCGGGCGATTAAATTAGCGGCGTGGTTAATTAATCCTAATCGCATGATTATCCCTAATTAACCACGATGGGGGTTAATCGCCTAAACTTTTGGCTTTTAAAGAAGAAGAAGGGAAAAAAAAACTTCAAAAAAGGCGTAAACTAATCTCCCCGGTTGCGGCGTTCTCCCCCACATGGTCCTTTCTTTCCAAGTCGTCCAGCCCAGCCTACCCGCCTCTTTCTTCTTTCTTCTTCTTCCTCCTCGCGCTCCTCCCGTCTATATAAACCCCGACACCTCCCTCCCCGTCTCCCGCCAGTTTCATCGCAGCACACATCCATCCATCCATCCATCTATCCAGAGAGCACAGCAACGGCGCATATATAGTACCCCTCTACCAAAGCACAACAACCAGAATCTCCTGAGCTCGATCTAGCTACTAGCTTGATCTATCCGATCAATCGACTGGCCCGCGAGGATCGATCGAGACTCGAAAGGGAGGGATTTTGATCCGGATCGGTCGACGATGGACATGGCGCACGAGAGGGACGCGAGCAGCGAGGAGGAGGTGATGGGCGGCGACCTGCGTCGCGGGCCGTGGACGGTGGAGGAGGACCTCCTGCTCGTCAACTACATCGCCGCGCACGGCGAGGGCCGCTGGAACTCGCTCGCCCGATCAGCAGGTAGGATCGCGATCTCGATCGATCGAGCTCCCAATTCCACCATAAATTACATGCACGCACACATCGATCAATTCCATGAGCTGAGTGTCCGTACATGCTTAGCCTGATGAGCAATTATAGGACGCAAAGTACCAGTCGCTCTTGCATCTACATGCTGATTTCTGGAAACACAGATAGCTACGAGTCTACCCTGAGTTCTCTAGCAGCCAACCAGCTAAGCTAGAAGCTATAGTGAGTGAGAGGGAAAGGGGAGAGAATTTTTAGTGGTTAGCAGCGTAGCTAGCATTGTTCATAGGGATATTTTTAGTTGCTCATCCCTCCCCCGTTACATCATCCATCCTGCCGTCGTCGTATGCGTATAACTGCATTAGTATATAATTGATTAGTTGCTGCATACTATGTTTTAGCAATGGTGTACTACATGTGAATATTTTGATGTGACGTGAAGAGAAAAATTAATCTTGGTTTTTGGTTGTTGTCATGCAGGGCTGAAACGCACAGGCAAGAGCTGCCGGCTCCGGTGGCTGAACTACCTCCGCCCCGACCTCCGGCGAGGCAACATCACGCCGCAGGAGCAGCTGCTCATCCTGGAGCTGCACTCGCGGTGGGGAAACCGCTGGTCCAAGATCGCGCAGCACCTCCCGGGACGCACCGACAACGAGATCAAGAACTACTGGCGCACGCGGGTGCAGAAGCACGCCAAGCAGCTCAAGTGCGACGTCAACAGCCAGCAGTTCAAGGACGTCATGCGCTACCTCTGGATGCCCCGCCTCGTCGAGCGCATCCAGGCCGCCGCCGCCGGGCAGCAGCAGCAGCAGGAAGGCGGCACCGACACGCCGCCCCTGTCGTGGCAGCACGGCGGCTCCGACGGGCTCTACGAGTCGCCGGAGCTCCCGGCGCCCGATGCCAGCTGCTGGCCAGCCGAGTACTGCGCGGCGGCCGGCGGCGCGCAGTCGGGCGGCACGCCTGCACCGGAGCTGTCGAGCACCACGGCCGGGTCGTCGTCGCTGTCCACGGACTCCGGCGCCGGGGCGCAGCCCAGCTGGCCCACGCAGGCCGACGGCGCCGAGTGGTTCACCACCGCCTGCGACGCCTCCAGCGCCACCGGCGGCGTGGCCATGCGCGACACGGAGCTGGAGCTGGCCCAGCCGCCGTGCCAGGGCGGGCAGACGTGGACGACGTCCGAGTCGTCGCTGCCTGGCCTCACCTTCCCCGACCTCGCCGTCGCGGACTTCGAGATCGGCGGCTTCGACGTCGATAGCTTCTGGACGAGCATGGAGGACGACCAGCTGTGGTGCCCCACCCAGGCCGCCGTGTGAAAAGTCAGCACGGCCGCCATGGGAATCCGCCGCGGCGAGCGAGCGCGCGCGCGCGCGACACCCGCGGGTGCACAACCGCCGGGGACGCGTAGCGGAGCGGAGAAGCGGATTAGAAGAAGGAGAGAAGCTATCTGGGGGATTAGAACAAGATTAATCGCCTCACGATGCCATTTTTGGACTCCTAGCTCCCAGACTATTCTAACTCCAGTTCTTTTCCGTTTCTTTCTCCTTTTTTACTTCCTAGGGTAAAAAAAAAGAAGTTAAAGTGTAGCCGTTATACTAGTGTTGATGCTGCTGTTACTAAAGTTTGTCCGTTAAATTTTACTCATTCTTTTTGAGTAAATACAGTACTGCCACTACTGTATGTACGAGCTGAACTCTGTAGGATTGACAGGATTACTGTACACTTCTAGAAACCGGTAATAAAAGCAAAGCTCCGACGTCAAGTCTTGATTAATTACTACACTTTGCATGCTCCAGTGTCGAGCCGAGTGGTACACTAGTACACAATATCCCCGGCCCATTTCTCGCCGCTAATTGTGATCCTCGCGCACTCGATCCTTCTCCCTTTTTTTCTGTGTTTTTTGTTGCAGTGGCTGGCTTGGTTATCATTACGCTGATCGCGACCGCGAGCGAGCGTTTTGCGAGAGATCGCTTCGATTTGTTTATGCCGACACGGATGTTTTCTACCGCGAGAATTCGGTGCAGATCGATCGCGTGCGCTGTTACATCGGATCGATCGATCGACACGGCTCGCTCTCCCCAGATGTGATGATCCGCGTGGCCTTCTGCGTGACACTACACACGTTGTTTTCGCAACTCATCACCTCGTCAGGTTCAGATAATTTAGACGAGACGAGGGGAGGGGTGAGAGTGACGATTAACGTTAGCATTAGCAGAGCAGGAGTGATCAGCTCTGAAAGCCCTGAAACCCAAGTGGATGTCGAGCAGATATGCTTTTAAATTGCAAGCACTAAAAACCATCCGCACGGCACGCGCATGGCGAGCGAGTGAGCTCTACTGCTACTGCTTGCTGCTACTACGCTCACTACGACACTCTTGCATGCGACTGAGCTGTGGGCCCAGCCAGCCAAGCGGCGTTGCATGCATCACCTCAAAACACAGATAAGGAAAAGGGAATTAAAAGGGAGTGAAAATGGAGAGCGAGAGTGTGTGTTCTCTAAAAGAATAAAAGGGGAGCTAGCGTGAATTGTTTACATCTTGATCTTTTTAAAAACCTTTTTATGAATAGATTGTAGGGAAAAAACGTATTAACAAATGAATCATTTTTAGGTACCAACCTCATTAGCACCGAGATCCAATGGCTCCGCCAACGGCATTATATCGAACCCAACCCCCCTCCCCCCCTGGCCCTCTCAACGGGCGGATTCATAGTTGGGGCTTAAGGGCCAGATCTGCCCTCCAACCTATCAGCCACTGCAAGCAAGAATGCAATACTGATTACTAAGAGCCAATGAGAATGGTGAAAACTTAAAAGTTGTGAGATTAATCAACCAAATTTCTTGTTAGCTTGTTAATCCTTATCACATAATTGATGAGCAGATTCTGAGATTGTACCTGATGTGCCAATTAGTAAACGTTGAGAATACCAATTTGTCAATTTTGGTTGAATTATTTTTAATGTTTCAAAAACCAATAAAGTAATTTGGCCATACAGTTAAACTATTGACATGGCCATGGACCACACCAACAGTTTCGAATCATGATTTTATTATACAATTCATTATTTTCTTTGTTTTGTTTATGTATTAATTAATTGAGTTTAAAAAATGATAGGCATATATATATTTACTTTGCCGCTAAAATAATTTACATAAATATGAGCACATACTTAAATTTCATTCTAGATTCATCACTGATCCACTTCCATGGCACTAACCTGACTAGCGTCAGAAGTGATCCATTACTACAATAATTTTTTCTAAGGGTATACCTAAAAAATGTTTAAAAAAGAACCAAAATATTTTAAAATAAATCATGGAAGCTAGCCACATTTTCCTCTTCGTAGTTTCACACTTGTATTAATTAAGAAGCGGAAAAGGAAAAGTGGAAAACCTGAGAAAAGAGCCCCCGCGCGATTGTCGTGGCTGGGCCGACCTAAGCACCACTCGCGAACTGTCAGCTTCCATGAGAAGGTTTTCTCGGTGTTGATTCGCTGATATTTTTCTCCTCTCTTTCTCTATCTATCTCTGAATTAGCACGCCAATTGGTCCAAAAAAGAAAAAGGAAGCACACTAGTCGCTGATTGTTGAACTGGTAAAACGGAACGGGAAATGATTATCATTGGGCCAGCAACGGAATGATGGCTGTAACCCAATTTTGATGGCGAAGTGTGTGCCTCATCTGCCGACTAAGCAGTTCTTTGGAATGGAGAATTTTCAGAGGAGTTTGGCGGGAATTGAATTAATTTCTAACAAAACCTTGAAAAATTCAAAGTTGTTTGCATCGTTTTTTTACTCTCTTCATGTCAAAATACATGACTGGTCCCTAAACGTGTGGAGTGGTGTCACTTAGATCCATGAGCTTAAAAATTACGCGTGTAGATCCATGAAATTGGTTTAGTGTATCACCCTCGGTTCAATCGCCTTTTGACCGCGGCTGACCGCCAGCATGACGCGCTACGTAGACAACATTTTTGCACTTTATCCCCCTTTGTATATATTTTCTTACATAATTTGCCCTTATCAGTGCATTCCAAACAGAACCTCCCAAATATCTCTGAATCGGCTAGGGTTTTGACGACGAGGTTAGCAACGGGAGGTAGCGCAGTGTGGATCAATTAGTGGGGGGAGGCGGGGTAGTGCCGCTTGCACACTTGCCATCCCCATGGCTTCTCCAAACTCGTCCTCGTCTTATAGTCGCCAGAAGAAGGTACCGTTGATAAAGTGCTCGTTGTGCAAGAAGAGGACCATTGTGGAGTGCACAACAATGACGATTATTAATTAGGGCATCATTTTCTGTATGTGCAAGGAGAGGAATGAGAGGGAGGAAGGATTTGGGGATATTTTTAGGGGGATTCGGGTGTCATTGTAGCTAAAGAGGGTATATGTGGCGCACTGTGATGCGGAGGGGTCTAAGCGCAAAAGTATTGCCTGCGTGGCACGTCACCTAAGCAGTTAGCTGTGTCAAAGAGCGATTGGACCGGGAGTGGTAAATTAAACAAAGTTCACGGATCTAAATGTATAATTTTCAATTTCACGGACCTAAATGACACCACCCCCACAAGTTTAGGGACTGATCATTTATGTTACTTATAAAAGAACTTTGGAAATTCAACAAGCCCCGCCCTTAAATAATTAACTTATACCTTGGGTCCTACAATCTTAGTGATATATATAGTAGTATTTGGATATAATTTATATAACATGTGCAATCAGATTTAAACCCCTAATTTATACTCCAGGATGGATTAGTCCCAACATTCAGCCACCAATTCCTAATTGTTTAATAAGGGACATAATGAACTTTTATCTCACTGCTTAATTGGTCATAAAATTGACAAAAGTCCTTATATTTTGAGAGATATAAGGAGTAGTACTTAAATTGAGAAATCATGTCATCTAGACATTCATTTACTCAAATTTGGAGAGCTGGATTCCGCGAGAAGCACTCAGCGAATACACAATTGATGAGAACCTAGATAAGTTGGCCAACTTTAGATCACCAATCATTTAATGGATTATGTAGCTATCTACTCAGAAGTCGAAATATCTAGACTATTCAGGGGAGCGAGAAAATGTCTAGCTACACTTGTTAAAGTTTTCTCCAAAGATGCCCTTATTAAAATATCAACATGTGTATATATAATTTCTTTGAAAATATTTATGTAAGTACTCCCTCTATCAAAAACAAAGTCAACTTTTACACATGAATCTAGATATAGTCTGTGTCTAAATTTGCGTATAAAAGTTAATTATTTTGGAACGGAGAGTACATATTAGAACTTTCCTGACTGCTTAACTAGTGATCAGTGATCATGGAGTTCTTTTTTCACAAAAGACCAGTGATCATGCAGGTACGTATAGCGAGTAGTAGATTGTTGCTGTAACTAGACGGTACTAACCGCGCTATGCGTGATTGCACTCAACGCAGGCGCCGGGCCGGCATGAGTAGGTGTTGCATTTTGCATGCTCTCACGCTCACTGTGAACTCCCAAGCACAAGACAGCGAGCGGCGAGCCAATTGTTGACAGACAAATATGGAAGCGTTGCATGGAAATTTCTTCCCGCATAATCACGTACCACGTAGTACCAATGTGGACATTGTCACTGGCCCCAGCGACGTGGAATTTCAGGCATGTGGGGCCTGAGCCTGACGTGTCAGTACCAGCAAGTCAATTTTCGCAAATCGTATAAAATGACCCCTTCATTTTTTTTTCTTTTCATTCTGGAAGGAGAATTATTATTGTAAGATTACCAAGTGCCAAGTTGGATGCTCACTGATCGAGCTATCTAAATCACTAATCAGACTATCACAATTCACACGGTGCGTGCGGTTTAGGGAGCACACGCAGACGCAGTCGGAGCATGCGGAGATCGTCGTGGGCGGAGCAGAAGATCCGCGCGACGCGACGCAACGCGATGCACCGCCGCCGCCGCGGGGGGCGGTGTGGCCCCCGGCAAATTAAAGACAGTCTGGCGAGCAACGAGACGCGGCGGCGGTGCCAGCGCCCGCGCCACACACGTCAGCAGGTCAAGGGCGGGTTCGGACGGGTCAACGCGGGCGGACTCGACTCGGCGCGCGAGAGCGAGACGTAGTTCGGTTCAATCCTCCTCGTGCTCGTGCTGCCGATCTCCCTCGCCGCGCGCGCTTTTCCGCTTGCGAGGCTTCACACCCAGTAGCAGTAGAGCGGCCGACCGAGCCGAGGGTTTTCCTCTACCTTTTTCCCTGGGTTTGGCTTTGCTTTTCTAGTTCCTACTGGGACACTGCCCGTCTAGCACTCTGTCTGTCCGTTTCGTCGACGACGGAAGTCGCAAGCTGCACATGTCCGTTCTGTTCTGCTTCTGCACGCGCAGCGGCTGGCTAGGGGCAGTCTAGCACTAGCACTAGCACCCGTACCATTGTACTGTACTGTGGTACTGTTTCTTGAATAGAGATGGGATTGGGTTTGGACTTTGGAGACGCATATATGTACGACATCGTCCATTTCGAAACGTTTTGAGCAATGCAGTGTCTCGGGTGTCCCAGCACGCAAAATGAAACAGTGTTTAGTGTATGATTAATTAAGTATTAGCTAAAATAAATTTGAAAAATAGATTAATATGATTTTTCAAAGTAACTTTTGTATAGAAAATTTTTATAAAAAATGCATCGTTTAGCAGTTTAAAAAACGTACGTGCAAAAAACGAGTGAAGTTAGTTGGGAAAGTAGAGATAATAACTCAGCACCATGCTAGGTTTAGCTTAACTATGCCACGAATAACACGACGTGGGTGATTAG